TAGTTGAAAATGTATTGCGGATCTTATCTTCCTTATCTCTTTTATACTTTCAATTTTTTGTATCCGCAATTTTTTCATCTAGGTTTTTTAGGTTTTTTTGCATTATTTCCTCCTTTGATTTAAATTCTTCACATTCTATATTAAACGTATGATTTGTTTCTAATTCCTCTAGTTCTTGTTCTAATTTTTCTTTACTTCGTAATACAGACATGCCAGCCCATTTTGCTCATATTAAAGTTTTCCAGGACATTTCTGCAATGACTATGCAAAAGAGGAGAGAATTCAGTTTTACCGCTGAATTGAGGAACATGGACATAAGATACCTTTTTCGTATTGATTAGGGCTCTGAAACCTATGTTTTTCGTTTTTCTTTATTATTGTAAACCAGGCTTTTTTGTGTTTTGTTTTTTTTGCAAAAGTGTGCATTTATTTTTTCAATAATTATGTATTTTCTTTTTTTTTTTTACTGGTTTTACTAATTGATATATGTTTAATTTTCTAGTGCAAAATGTGATATGCAATCATTCCATTATTTTTTTTTTCGTTATTTTGTTTCTTTTTTACAATTAATCTAAGCCTAGTGTGCTAGGTCACCTCCCCCCAATTATAATTCTCTCACTGATATGGGCATTTCTTGTTCGAATGGTGTTGAATGGTTTAAGAATGGTATTGAAATTTTTATCCTTTAATGTGAGGAGACTGAACACTTCGCACAAGCGTAGACTATTGTTTTAAGACACCAAAAAGGCTAAACCAGATGTTTTATTTATACAAGAATCCGACTTTTAAAAAGGCCATGATTCCAATATATTAATGGAAGATTACCCAACTCAATTCAGTGTTTGATAAGAAATCGAGAGGAGTTTCTATATTTTTCCACAAAAACATGGCATGCAAAACGGACGAAATAGTCACAGACCCTAACGGACGATATTTGAAATGGAAGGGTTCAATAAATAGCGTGGCATATACTCTGGTAAACCTATACTCCCCTAACTCTGGGTCATTTCATTTTTTTGAAAAGAATTGTAAATAAACTCTTAGACGGAGTCAAAGGCAGACTCATTTTGGATGGCAATACCAATTTTTTAATGGATTGCAAATATGACATAGTGTCACATCCTTTTCCTGTCATTTCTGGCCTTGGCTTCTGATATCCAGTAATCATTTTTACAATTGTTGTTTAGTTTTTATTGGTTTTTCTGATTCTCTATTCTATATCTGGTTTTCTTTATGCTGGTTTTCTGGGTTCATTCCTTTATTCCATTCCTGGAATTCCCAGTCTCCTGGATTCCTTTAAATGTTTGTTTTTTGTTACAACACCCGTTCTTTTGCCATTTATTTATTTTGTTTCAGTGTTCCCTGCTAGCAGTGATCTAATTCCTCTGCTCCTTTCCTTGCAGGTAAGTACTGTATGTGTTTTATTGTTGTACTTTTAGTCATGCATAACTAGGCAGTTAGGACCCACCGTAATTAGAGTACTTCTGCGCAATGGTGGGCTGCATACATCTTGGCCATTTATGTATGTCTAAATCTCCAATGATTATTACATATATAATACTTCATTATTTCTCCTCTTGTTTTGCCTTGTATCTTTTGTCTTATATTCCCAGTTCATGTGCAGTCCTGTCCTGCCCTGTCCCTGTCCTGTTCTTGTTACCCTCATGTCTTGTGTACATGTTCTGCTTTATGTCCTGTTCCGGTTCTGGGTTCTTATAGTCTTGTTTTGTTATCTTGTTTGTTGCCTGTTCTAGTCTTACCTTGTTTCTAGTACTGAATACATATCTACATAATATCAAGCTCCTGGGATCCACAGAAGCTGCATCAGGGCTCTTCGAGAAGCTAATAGTACTGCTAAAAATTGTAAAAGTATGATGTTGGCGGACACATGTTCCAGATTTCTCACAAGGGATTATTTGACTGCTGGCGTGTGCAATATGAAGGAGAGTAGGACTACACATACCGATCCTCAGTTTATAACGTTATCTCAGATAGACAGATTCTTGGTGGGTGAGAATGTCATACCCCTTGTTACATACACAGACATATCAGATATTAATTGGTCTGATCATGCCCCCACAACGATGCATATAGAAGAGTCTTTTCAGTCAAATCCGAATAGAATTTTAAGACTTAGTCACGGAACCGGAAAACAAAAACTTGGCTGAAACAGAAATTAATAATTATTTTAGGGAAAATGCGACCCAATATTTGAAAGACACCTCACTATGGCATGCTCGTAAAGAAGTCCTTCTTTATACAACAAGCCTCCTCCTTGAAAAATTGAAATAAAAAAAAAACTAAACGATTTAGAGAAGGAATTATGCGATCTTAATCAGGTGAATAAAATCGACCCTTCCTTGTCTCTTGCCACAAAAATCTCAGAGGTTAATATTCAACTTAACACTCTGCAGTTGGAATACACAGCCTTAATGAAGAAGAGACTGAAACAGGCATTTTATGCAAATGAAAACAGAGCCTCTTCTTTACTGGCATCAAGATTACGCCCAATCCAGGATAGAGCATCTAGTGTATGAGGCTGGCATTAAAGTCACTCATCCAGTTAAGATGAGCAATATGTTTGCTGATTACTACAAAAAACTTTACAAATTGGCTTCTGACACGAACACGATACAGCCCACATCAGAAAAGATATGCTCTTTCCTGGATAAGGTCCCTTTGAAAACAATTTAAATTGACACATTGAACACTCTAAATTCTCCCATCACCACCAAAGAAATTCTAGATGCCATAAACATGATTCCTCAAGGTAAAGCTCCGGGACCTGACGGATTCACAATGCCATACTATAAATCCTTCTCTGGTATCCTAACCCCTCATCTACATCATTTATTTAATCATTACTGGAAGTCTGGAGGAATGCCATTGGAGGCCTTGAGTGCACAGATAATCACAGTGCCTGTGGGCGTAGCATGCCAGGCAACGGAGCTGGTCACATACTGAAAAAACTCCGCGGCCCTAGCCCACTAGTCCCCGACTAAACAGTGCACACACAAGCTAAACATGGGTAAAACCCGATGCCCTGGGACACCTGGAATCCCAGAGGCAAGCTGCAAGTCAGATCGACGGATACCTTTCTAAGCCGGACAACGTCAGACAAGACGCAGATCTGGTGACTAGTGGACAGGGCAATGTCCATCTGGAGCTGCGCAGACAAGTGGAGGACTTAGACAATAGGGGCAGACAGAATAATATCAGAATCAGAGGCCTGCCAGAACATGAGGATGATTGCTCTTTGAACTCTTGGCTGGCCCCTTTTGGGAGAGGCAGCACCTGCAGATTATGGCATAGAGGGGGCACACAGAGCCCTCAGACCCCCACGGAAAGATGGCCAACCCCGGGATGCAATATGCTGCCCACTCTCCTTTAGCCTCAAAGACATGATCATGAAGGCAGCTAGATACCTGGCAAACGTCACTTACCTGGATACACAAGTCTCCCTGTACCGGGAAATATTGGTCCTAACACTTGACACCAGAAGAGCCCTATGGACGGTCACATGCCTACTCCAAGAAAAATGGATTCCATACAAGTGGGGATTCCCTTTTAGTCTTCTAGCCCAAGCTGACAACACATGGCACTCGATTAGAAGACCGAACGATGTTCCACGATTCCTGTGGGTTATGAACCTCCCAGCGCTGACAGTCACTTATTGGATACTGAACAACCCACTACATCACCAGGACGCAGCTGTGCCTAACATTGCATGCAGACATGGCCTCAAGACCACCAATCAGCCAGTCCAGAGGGGCAGCCCGAACAGACCCAAAGAATAGCGGCCTGGCTCTACACGACAGACCTAACCTGGACACACCAACTGCCCACACTGCTAGATTTCAAGCAATCAACAACACCTACTTGACCCTCTACCTACCCAGAGGCTCCAGACAGTTTTGGACGCTGACTAGCGGAATCATACTGGGTATGTACTTATGGGACTCACCAAGGGGATATCCCTATCACACATGCTAAGAGGGAGCGCTTCTGCATGGGCAGGCTCAACCATTGGGTGGGGGTAGAGGGAACTCATTGGGTCTCCTAAAACTCACTCTGGATCTGCCACACTCAGACTGGGTTGCATATGGGCCCTGGGATCCTTCCATGAGCCATGGGTATAGATTCCACCCCAACCCCCCCGAGCAAACTCACCAAACCTTGGGTCACGGTTGTCTGCTATTACTACTTGCCCAACCCCCCTCCTTGCCCAGCCATCCATCCTCGCCTTCCTGCACCCACCCCCCCCCCATTATTATTATTATTGTTATTTTTATTTATTTATATATGTTCTATCTCTTTCTCCCCTCTTTCTCTTCACTTTCAACACCCCCATCCCCACCAGTGCATCCCCCTAACCACTGAACTAACAACGTCAGGGGCCAAAATAAACCAGAAAGACACTCTCACCTCCTGCGAATGCTGTGGACTGCCAGGGCATCCATAGTGTTCTTGCAGGAAATGCATTTTAGGGATGGCCAAGCCCCGGTTCTTCGAGACATACGCTTCCCCCTAGGATACTTTGCAAACCACAACACCTCCAAATGCTCTAGCGGAGCGATTTTGTTTGCCCATTCGGTCCCATTTCATTGTGTGTCTACGCAAGCTCTTTGTGAAAGGGAAAATAGCTGACCGAACATATACCTTCGCTACTATATATTGCCCGAACCGAAAACAACACGTCTTGTTAGCTAAGACTCTGACTAAACTGGAAAAATTTAGGGATGGCCTACTGGTTATAGCTGGAGATATCAAGCTCCTATTGGACGCACACTTAGAAACTTCCAGAGGCACATGCGCGATTCTGTCACACTGTACACAGACAGCCAAGGCCGCCTTACGTAGATGGGGTCTGGTGGATTGCTGGAGGGTGGCGCACCCTGATGACCGTGATTACACATAATATTTTGTGGTCCATAGGAACTACAGCCACATTGACTACATAATGATTGCCCAGGAATACCTGCCGCTACTCATATCCTCAGACATAGGGACTCTCTGCCACTCCAACCATCACCCCGTGCAAATAAAATCCCCATTTTATAAGCCCAAAGAACGACAGTGGAAACTAAATGAAAATATGCTCATAGGAGCGGAAGATGTAGAATCGACAAAACAGGAACTCTCCCGATACTTTGAGTCTAACTCCAATAATGACACCCCCCCCACTGACAATCTGGTGCAAGAAAGATCGAAGTAGGCACACTGCAGAACTGCTAAGGCAAATTGCTGACCTTGAACTTACACAGAAACAAACACTAGCGGATGCCACATATCTCTCCCTACTTTACGTCAGGCATCAACACAGAGACCTTCTGTCACAAAACTTACTCCACACCCTCCGAAAGTCCCCTAGGTTCTTCTTCAAACAGTGTAATAAATGTTACTGGCTAGGGTTCTGCAGCAGAAGAGAAGACAACACCATGTACATAAGATACAGTTCCACACCCAGGAAGTAACCAGAAATCCTGATAAAGTACACAAGGCATTCCAAAATTATTATGCTGACCTTTACAACTTAGCACAATCCAAACAGGATGGGAACTCGCCGATTCACCGAAGTAGAATCGAGAAATACCTAGACCAAAATGTACCGAGTAAACTCTCTCCCCAACAGGCAGAAGAACTAGAGCAACCGCTGACACTAGAAGAACTGGCTTCAGCCCTCAAGCTCTCTAAGACACCTGCACCGGATGGCTTGCCCCTAACCTATCTGGGCACCTTTCGGGAAATACTACTGCCGGAGCTCTTGGACGGATTGAACTATCAAGGGTATTGGTGTAGGGGATAAAGAACACAACATTTATCTATTTGCAGACGACATGTTATCTCTTAAAAACCCAATGAATTAATTACCTCTGTTGATGTTGATCTTGCAGGAATCTGGCAAAATGTTACTTTCCAAAGCCAAGACACAAGCTTTCCCTTTCTTTATACCATAGTACGACTTGTATTCCCTGAAGGGTAGATTCGACTTTGATTGAAAAGTCTCATATATCTCTTATCTGGGCATTACTTTATGCAAGAATCTGTTCAAGATGCATTCTTATAACCTGGGTAAGTTTTGGCCCGATCTTAGGAAAGAACTAGAGAGGTGGTGTAGTCTTGAACATTCGTGGTTAGGTAAGGTTAATTTGGTAAAAATGTCTGTCCTTCCTAAAATGCTATATTTTCTTAGAGCCAACCCCCTTTCAATTCCTTTATCCTTTTTTTTTTTGAAAGGTGCATTCTGCCCTCCATAGTTAAAAAAAACCAGTGGGGGTGTGGGTTTGCCCCGATTTTATCCAATACTATTATGCCACTAATGCAGCGATGGCATTGGAATTTTATTTGGATAGGGACCGCCCTCTTTGGCTTGAGATGGAGGCAAGCAAACTACTACTCCACTCCATTAAGCATATTTTATTGCTGCGTCAATCACAACGCGCAAAGATGGCGAATATGTTTTCTGACCAGGACCTGAAATCTAGAAGTTTAGACTTAATACATTTGGAAAGGATATATATTTCAGATCCTGGCCAGAAACACACCATTTCTCTATGTTATGCACTTTTCGCAGGAGAAATCGGCCCCGAATTGCCTTATATGACCAAATGGGAAAGTGATGTAGGTGTAGAATACACAGTAGAAGAGTGGCATTCTTCATTACTCGCATTGCAAGGTATTACCCTTTGCATCACTCACCTGGTAACCCATCTCAAATTTCTTTACCGATGGTACTTTTCTCAGTTTAAAATGCTTTATTTAAATCTCTCTAAATCTAACCAATGTTGGAGAGGCTGTGGACAGGTGGGAACCTTATTTCATGTTTTTTGATCTTGCTCCAAATTAAATGATTATTGGCAAAACATCCTAGAATTAACAGAGTTTCCGGTTTCTTTAGCTTCTGACCTGTGTCTGCTTAAAAAATTCCAAGATGGGTTTAGCTGCCCATAAACGTATCATGCTGGGACATATTTTAATATCTACAACAGCTGTTGTCCCACGCTTTTGGAAATCAAAAGTTATTCCATCAATTACCGAAGTTCTCCTTTATGTTTTTAAGAATAAACTGGCTTCATGAGTCCCATCTGTCGACAATGCCCTGCTTCGTCATGACTGGTCGGAGTGGGAAAAGGAAAATACAAACTAAATTAAACCATCTATCTACCTGACAGTATACCATTTACTTATAGTTATTTATTTTACTAATCATTACCATGTTATTCACCTCATGTATGGCACATGTAATTCAATGCTGCATAATATATGTGTATGCATGCTTTAACTTTTGCTTCATCGTTTTGAACCTTTTTTTTTCTCCTATTTTATAACCAAATATGGATACCTTATGTTCTCCAATTGCTCATCTTTATTTTTCTTTTTTTCCCTCCCTAGTTTTTTTAATCTAAATAAACAAATATAATATTTTTTGTAATGTTCTCATACTTTAATACCATATATTTACCTGGTAAAGGATTAATCTATTCAAGGGCCTGAAATGTCGAGTGGGAGGTATCGCAATTGTGAAATGAGCATACTTGGCATGAAATTGGTGTTTTTCCAAAGCAGACCTTATTGAGTATATATGTTAAAGATGAGCCTCCATATCTACTGATATGTCTTACTGGTGTACTGCAATCCACATGAACAGGTGATTTTGGAGATAAATGTAATTGAGCAGTTTATGAATGACTTAATGTTATAAGCCTCCTTATTTGTCTTGCTGATCCCCTGTTTAGTAGGAGTAGTGACTGGGCATGCCTTGATTTTCCCAAATTTTAAAATTCCCTTAGGTGATTTAAGTTAATAATCTTCTGGTGAGATTGATTTGTAGTTGGTTATGGAGCAAAACGTCTTATACAATTGGTGCCTTCCTAGTTGTAGCAGAGGTTTGTGTGGTAATGCAATTTTCTATCAACGGACCTGAAGATAGAACAAGCCAAAAATTTCTAAGGATCTGGTTAAATGCATGCTACCCTAGGTCAAAGGTGCCTATGCAGCATACTACATTATCTTCAATTTAAAGATTTTCAGGTTCAGTTGTTGAAAAATTATATTGATGTTGACGTTTGTTAAAAGCTCTTTTAAGTAACCTTCTATGGTATCCCTACTTTTCAAATTATTGGCTTCTTAAAAAGTTGTCATTATGTGTACAGTTTTTCCTCACACAGAGATATTAACTGAAAGTGTAGGGGTGAAAATTTGACCAATTTAAAAATCCATTTATTTCCATGTTTTTTCCAAAATAATCTTGTAGAAAGTTTGAGATTTTCATCTATTGCAATTACTAAATCCAGAAAACCAACTTCCTTAGGGTCAATAACACTGGTAAATTTTAAACCCAATAATGCCACCACTGTGGGTTTGATGGGCAACAAACTTATATTCACAAGAAGAAATAAATGTTCACATGGTCTAATTTTAAAAGCTCATGTAATGGTTTTAAGAATGGGTCAGATGAATTAACATCTATTACCATCCTCATCATTAATATTTTCCATACACATTTAGCTGTATGGTTCCCTGTTCAGTAGCATGATATTGCTTCCATTATCAGAAGCTTTTATTATTGTATTGTCATCATGTTCATGTAAAGACTGTCAACAGAAAAGGGTTACATCCTTAGTCCATTGAAAGAGATCTAAACTTGGGGTTGGCTCAAATGATAGCTCATGTCCTAGAAGAGAAAGTCTATCCTTAATTAAAAATCAGATAAGTTAATAATCTGACTTTCATTTATTGTAGTTTTTCCTGATTTGGGGGCTTGTATTCCCATTGCTTTCAGTCTCTGAGATGTGACAGGGCTTTGACTATTATGGGATCACTTTCTAAAAAGGATACTTTTGGTTTTGTCTGTGAGATTCCCCTAGATGGTCTTGTTTTTGTTTTAAAACTTGGTCAAACTCAATTATGAATCACTTCCTCCTTTGACGGATTGTGAATTCAAAGAATGAACAACTAATGTATTGAAATGGAATGTGGGTTTATTATACTTCCTAAGGGACTTCTTCAGGAGTCAAAAATTCTCCCTTCTTGAAAATATTGGTAGTCTCTCTGAAAGGTTCTGTGTTTCTTCTTCTTCCTCTATCAGTCTATGTTAGATTTAAGTTGGATAAAATCTACAACCAAAGGATCCTCCATAAACCATTTTATCCCCTTCTTTCTCCTTCTCCAAAAACTCATATCTATCTTTCAAGTTGTCTTTTTTTGTTGGTGACTAGAAAAGTCATAAGTTTAAATGAGCAGTAGAACAGCAATTCATTACATTTTTTAGATGTTCCTCTTTCTTTAGGTAAGGACTCTAGGAACAGGATACTAAAACCCTTCTGGATTTACAATGCACAAGATGTAAAAGAATCCATAGAGTATTGGGTGGTTGTCCACACAACTAAAGAGTTCAAGCCCTTTAATTTGACTAGACAGAAAAAAGAAATGCGAAAAAAAACAATATAGTATAGTTAGACTCAAAATATTATCATAGGGTTATTTGGTTACACTTGCTCATTTGATATGTACAAACAGTACAGTATATCATTATAAATCTATTTGTGCAAAGTAGAAAAATGTGGTTTGGCTGGATCGATTTGTCTGGATGCAAAAAAAAAGTTGATTACTTGATTTGTAAAAAAAAAAAAAAAATATTAAAAAAATATTTAGTGGCTGTACCCTAAACATCAATCGCCTCATTTTGTTTGTTTTGTTATTCGATCACATGAGGATTTGGGGTTAAAGAAATTGGATGCCATTCACCCAAAATTCAAATAAATTGCGATTCGTTTGAAACTTAATGCACAAGTCTAGTTATAAATATTGCTTTACAAACAAAAAAGAGAGAGAGAAAGAGAGGGAGGGAGATAAACACATATGCAGAATAAAAGCTGAAATTAATATGTTTTTAGCATACAATAGGATTTGTGTGGGTGTAATAGTACCCTTCACAACTTATTGATTTAATTGTACAATGTAAGCCTTTGGAAATAACATTTCTTCTAAATTACATATTTATACACAATATCTGCTTGATTTATTCTCTGATTTACAAATATTAAAATTAGCTATGAAACTATGAATTTACAGCAAGACCAGTTTTTGTTATCAAGTATAATATTAATACACGCAATATATATTTAGCTTAAAATACAATCTACAGTTATAAGATTTTGGAAAAAATATACAAACTTTCAAAAGATATATAAACAGAGTACAGTTACCAGACAGATACTGATATTTAAGGCTTCTGGGCATGAGACAAATGGGATAAGCAGATGAAATGTTGCATGTACGTAAACTAGAACTAACCATTTTCTGCTCAATTTGAAACATTATTATGAAACATTGGCGACTATAGGTGATTGTGATTCAAACTGGATATATTTTTTGCTATACAGGAAACTCCACACCGTGTATACACCACGTATAAATCAGAACAAGCTGGTAAACAACGCTCAATATTTAGTTTGTGCTATTTTTTTTATTACACTGCATATGCACTGCAGTGATTTGAATGGACTCAGATGTTGATAAAGGGGTTGGCTCTTTTGAACAAATAAGTAACGCTCACCACATAATCCAAAATAGTACAGTTCTTTCCTCAAAGGGTGGAAACAAGAAATTACATATGAATGATTGCTCATATTGACTCACCATATACCTCTATTTATTTATCATTGATTTTTTTTTTTAACTTGTATGTGCTAGAGAGCTACATCTTTTAAAGGAAATATATGTTAGAAATATATAAAAATGCAGTATTAGCACAATGTCTTGCACATATTTGGATATGTTTGTCT